CGCCCCAGGGACGGTCTCCACGGGCCGGATGAGAGGGCCTCGCGGGCCGCATCCGGCCCGCGGGCCGTAGTTTGGAGACCCCTGTTCTAAAATATTGCAGGAAATATTAGGTAAAAATACTTTTTGTATTTCTACAATGAAGAGTATAATATATTCATATAAATAAGACCTGAAATGTTTAATCATTTAAATAAATTAGTATTCTCTCTTTTGCAAGACACCTTTAAGTAGTATAATTTTTTACCAGTTAACATAACTGTTTAGCAAATGAATACGTTTTTAAAAAATGTATTAAAACATTTTCCACTTGTTTAAATACTTACTAGGCACTTAATGTTTTACACTGCACTTTCAAGGCACAGTAGTAAACACAAGGCAAGAGCCATTGGGGGAAATGTAATAGCATGTTTGTGCAGCCATATTACTTTGTATTTTGATCTTGTCAGGTAGCAGAACCCAAGTTGGATCAAGATGGAGAGACCTTCAAAAACAGCAGGTACTGCAAGAAACCTACCTCCTTCACATGGAGGAGATGTTTAATGTTTGTAAAGCACTTTCTTTAGCTTAAAGCCAGAAGTGCAACATATTGTAGTTAGTAAAATCAAGCTTCTGGTGTTATAGCAGAATGCATGATTCCTATTGCTACTTTAGATTATTCAGCTTTTGTCTCCTGATAGTTTAATGTATATGTACTGCCTCCTCCGGGCCCGACTCCCCCCTCCCGTGGTGTGGGGAAAGCCCTGCATGCGCCTGCCCTGGGGCCGACTCCCCCCGCCCCTGCGGTGCAGGGAAATCCCTGCTGAGGTGCAGGAAAGCCGCCGCGCTCCTCCTCCAGGGCTGACGCCCCCTCCCGCAGCGCACCCAGCACGCCACAGACCTGTGGGAGTGGAGCAGACAGCACACTTCTGGAACCCCCAGAAGTGGCGCGAAGCTGCAGGACTTCCATCCACCCTGTGGGAAGCCGGCACTACCTCCATTGTCGCTGGAGGTGGGAAGTGGGGCTTCTTGGGGGCCGGGAAAAAATGGGGGGGGAGCCCGAACGCCTCGCAATCGACTGGTCGAGGCCATCGCGATCGACCGGTTGGTGACCACGGGTCTAAAGACAGAGAGACAATCTATAGGAAAGAATAGAGGCAGCATAGAAAGGAACAGTTGAGTTGACTGGAAAAGAAAAAGGGAAGACATTATTCAGCACATACACAACTTCCTAAATTCCCCTACACTTTTGCCACAGAAAAACTGTCATGGCTTCTGGGTATAAAAAAAGACCTTATCTGGGAATATTGGGAAGAAATTCATTCCCTCGGTAAAAAAGGAAAACATGTTAAGTGTAAGTAATGTAATAAGATGCAGGGCCTAGTTGCAAGAATGAAACATCATATGGAAAATGTACTGGGAGAAAATTATGTTGATGATGTGGACGTACAATGTCTGAAGTGCAATGTGGATGAACTTTGCAATGCATCACTCTTCAAGACTCTATGCCTTTTAGTACAAGCCTGATTTAACAAATAAATTCCCAATAAAATACAAATGGTATGTGTTTGTGTGTATGATTTAGTTCTAGTATTCCTTGTTTCTGTGGGTCAGCAATGAGGGCATATAGCTCACAAACTGGCCAAATAGGTGCTATGGTTATGTGGTGGGGCAACTACCCCATACTGTCCAGAAGGAATTAATGCAGGCTGGCGGGATCCTGCACAGAGCCCTGGACAATAACGATTTTTAAAGTAGACAATTAGGGTGTGGTTTGCTGGGGCTACCAAGCAGATAAAGTCAGTTAGGCTTTTACTGGGGAAGATACAAGGCCTTGTTTTTGGAGAAGCACCCTCAATAGAGCAGTACCGAGTGAGGGAGGCTCCTGCCTTAGACTTGCCAGGCAGTTGGCCTTGCCAGGAGGGTGCAAAAAGTCACAGGGGAAATGATCCTGGAAACAGAAGGCAGTGGAGGAGAGGTATAGGAGGGCAGGACAAGGCTGCTGCTGCTCCCTGGATTGGGACCCAGAGTAGGTGGTGGGCCTGGTTCTCCCCCTCCCCATTGCACAAAAAGTCTAGCCATTGTTGTTTTGTGGCCTGGAAAGACTGTGGCTTGCCCCGGAATGAGGGGTTAGGCTTGGAGGCCACAGTTGGCCACTGTGACAGCAGAGACACCAGACAGTCGATAAACTCCTGGACGGGGGATGAGACAACTGTAGTGGGCAATGCTGGAGGGCTGTGTCCTGAAAGATGCTGTGGTTGGGGGATGACATGAGTCCAGAACTGGAGTGTGGCTTGGGATCTATCAGTAGTAAGATCAACCCCATGATAGGCTATTATAAAAGAAGTTTTAATGGCCAACTGGAACAGAAAGCTAAGTATAAGGTTATTCAAGACAGTGTGATGACACCTGCCACCTCAGTTCCTTATTTGCTCCATGAGTCAAGATTAGGATCCTGAGAAATTAGGAAAGTGTCCAGGAATTTAAATAAGCAGAGTCCACCTTGAAGATCTCCAGTTCCAGGTAAGTAGTGTTCACTTGTGTGGTTAAGGTTTTAGGAGTCAGGTGCCTGGAGCCCAATGCCCTACTATGCCATAGACTTCCTGATTGTGGGTGAGCAAGTTGCTTAGGTCTCAGACTATACACACAAATTGTAGCACTTAACTATATTGGTACACTGGAAGCAGTACAACTCCCTGCTGTTTCCCACCAGGGGCTTGGTTATACCTATATATAGGTACTTTACATTATCTACCGTATAAAATGTTGTTATATCAGTTCTCTCTTGGCAGGGTAACTGCGGTGATTAACGTTGTCAAAAAAAACCCCTCTCCTTATTGGGCATGCGCACCTTCTTAGCGCAGCTTGTAGTTTCCTTCTGCGCCTCCCGCCCTGCCATGGCGGTGAGAGTCACTGCACCTCCGGATAAAATGATGCTTCTCACCCAAGGCTGATCGTATAAAATGTTGTTATATCAGTTCTCTCTTGGCAGGGTAACTGCGGTGATTAACGTTGTCAAAAAAAACCCCTCTCCTTATTGGGCATGCGCACCTTCTTAGCGCAGCTTGTAGTTTCCTTCTGCGCCTCCCGCCCTGCCATGGCGGTGAGAGTCACTGCACCTCCGGATAAAATGATGCTTCTCACCCAAGGCTGATGTGAGGGGAGGTTTATTAACGGTAGCGAAGCACCCGGCTCCCACAGCGAGGGCGGCGGAAGAGACAGGGCTGCAGTGAAGGGCTGAGGGTTTGCAGGTGGCTCTGGACCAGCCCCGGGCTACGCGGTGCCCGGCTGTTTTCTGCCAAGCAGCGGGTCCCCCGCGCCGTCTCCATTTCTTCCTCCCACCGAGATGCGCTGGTGGGCGGCAGCGGAGATGTGGCCGCCGCCCCTCCGGGGGCGCAGAGCGGGGCAGTCCCTAAGCCGGGCTCACCGGGGCTCTGCCCTCCGCTGCCTCACGCTCTCCTGACCGCACGCGCTGACTCGGGAGCCGGGGGCGGCCGGGAGACCCGCCTCTAGGAGAGAACGGTGCTGGGCAGGGTGACGTGCGAGGCAGCTCTTGAGACCCGCTCGGACCTCGCCCTCTGGCCTGCAGCCACTGCCTCTAGGTGCGCAGCCCGGCGCAAAGGCGCCATTTTCTCCTCGCGAGCCACCCGCCTCTCTAGCGGGGTGATGTGAGGTCAGGGAGCCCGGGTCCCGCTGCGAGCGCGTAGCAGCTCTCGGCGCCGCTGCAGGGAGGCGCTAAAGTGGAGAGGAGTCACAAGGCGCCGTGGGGGACTGCGCATGCCCAGTAGCTGCGAAGGAGAATCGAGCCCAGCCGCGGCGGCCTGTAGTATACACTGGCGCACGCGCAATGTAGCGGGGCTTAGCCGGTCTGTTGCCGGTAGGCTCTGGCGACGCATGCGCAGTGCTGGCGGCGAGGGAATCACAGGCCTGGCTGCTGCTGGAGGAGGCGCTGGGCTGTCGGTGGGGTTGGGACCAGGCGCAGGAAGCAGAGTCCCGCACACTGCGAGCAGCCCCAGGCGGCGCGCGGAGCCGGGTAAGGGGCGCGCTGCTGGGGCAGGGGGAGCGGCTGTGGCCGGGCGGGGCCCCCCAAATCCCGGGCAGGGGCTTGGGGAACCATTAAAGTTTGACAGTTCTGGCTGGGTCCCGTCTGCAGGGCGGGCAGGGGCTGTTTCATAAGGGACCCGCTAGGCCTTGTGACCCACTTTACTCCTGTCACAACTCCCAGCACGTTTGGAGCCCTGCCCGGCTGGCCCGGTGCCCGCCTGGGCCCCGCCTGCTGCCTCCATTCCCCGCCCCCAGGGTGGGGGCGGGACCCTCCGAGCCGCCAGATCCCCACCTGGCCGGGTTGGAAACGGCGCCTCGGCGCCGGGCTGGGCTGGAGCGGGGACCCCGCTTGTTTTCTTTCTCCCGCGGCTGGAGCCGTAGGCGGTGTCTCGACCGGTCGGTGCAGCCGGGAGCGGCGCTCCCTGCCCGCGCTGCCCCGGCTGTCGGCTGGGCTCTCCGGCTGCCAGGGCTGGTTGTTTACAGCCTGGCGTGTGGCGGGGCAGCGCGCATAGCGCGGTTACCTCGCAGCACCCTGCTGGCTGGGGAGCCCTCGTGTCCGCAACAGCCGTAGCGCCGGGAGCGCTCTTGGCTGCAGTGCTCGGTGGACAATAAAACCAGGCGGCGGGCTGCTGGTGGTAGTCGATGGCCTGTTGTTGGCAAGGCGGTGATGTTCTTAGTGTCGCTGGTAAATTAGAATGAAATGCACTGGTGTGAGAAGTTACCTGACAGCTGACACTTGGCAACTCGTGCATCTAGTCCTGGAAAGCAATAGTTCCATAAAATGAAGTTGCTGGCCTGCGGGAAGCGACCACTTGCCTGCATGAGCTTGCAGTATCTATCTCTCAATCCCACGAGTCACATATTTTATAATTGTAATACTTAACGTTTGTACATCGATTTCTACAGAGAATTCGCTGTTTAAATCCTGTTATAACAGAGTGTAAAGTTAAAGCTACAGTAATAAATATCTACATTTTATTTTGTTTCTTTAATGTAGTTTTAGCATGATGTCTAAGCAGTGTTTATTAATAAAAGTATTAAAAGCAAAAATTATTCACCCGTCCTTCTGGCATTTAGGTGCATGCTTAACTTCAAACATCTGAGTAGAAACACTGGTTTTAGTAGAATGGCGTGCATATAAACAATTAAGCATGTGCACTGTAGTACAGGTACCTAAATTGCTTATCATTCTTTCTGCATTTCTTTCAACTTGGAAATTGATACTAGGTGAATTTTATAATCAGTTTCATTTTCCGGTTCTCATTGCTTCCTTACTGGAGTTTTAAGTAAAGCAAGGAGAATTTTTGTTTAAAAGCTATTTTAATTCGAGGTTTTTGTTGTTAAACACTCGAAACATTTTGTTTTCTGAGATCACTTAGCATTATGGAGATTCAAAGAAAAATAATATATAGTCTCATATTTTAGAACACTAGGTGTTCTTTTTAAAATGTGATGCTATTGTGCATCTTGGACTTGGTCTTAAACTGCTGAGAACCTTGTTGAAAACAAATGATCGTGCTCTAATAGCGCATTTTTTCAGGAAATAATTGGACTGAATTATTTTAAAATAGCATAAACAATTTTTTTCAGGCCTGTGTTTAACTGCTAGGCTCAAACATAACACACCTGCTTCTTACTTATTGCTTATTTCAACTTTACATGTAATGGAGGATGGATGTTTTATTTAAGCTCTGTCATTTTATGCATATTTGTGTTTTACTTTTTGTAAATTGTTTACATTTTTTAGGATTACTTAAACTCCCTCTGGTGACTAATTTAATATCTATATGTAATTTAAGTATGTTAAAGTGTGGTTATTTGAAACTTTGCTTATGTGGTTGTAGGCTGATATTCTTGTGCAGTGCCTCAATGAGGTCCATGGGGTTTCGTATAAGGGTTCAACTGTGAATGACAACTTACAGGTAGAACACACTACGAAGGTTCTATTGATAATAGGTGATTACTAGTGTTAATGTTTGAGCCCCCAGTGGCTGCGAGGCTCCAAATTTCACCTGATCTGGCTACTCCTTCTGGGTGTTAGATGTTTTTATTTTTGGATGGTGTATTTTTGGTTCTCTTTGCTTATATGGTACTAATACTGTAAAGCCAGTGTTAACCGGAATGCCCTAATCCCCAAGTGTGCCAGGTATCTAAAAATTCCAGAAAGGTCAAGCACAGTGGTGTGCAACCTTTTTGGAGCTGCGACCCCCATACCCAGGCGCTGCCAGCTGCCCGGCCCAGCTCCCGGCTGGCTGGATTATAGCAACATGCTGTGAGGCTGCGCCCAGCCTTGTGCTGGTTGGATCACAGTGCTGTGCCGCATGGCTGCACCAACCCCCTAGGAAATTTGCCGGTTAGTTAAGTCCCTAGGAAGTTTTCTGGATAGTTAAGTGCCGGATAGCACAGGTTTTACAGTATATAGTTTTCTTTCCATAATCTTTTCCATTTTGTGGGGGGGGTTTTCATGTATTTAGTTCTCCTTTTTGTTTCCTCTCGCTACCTCCTCTGCTAGGAATTTCCTTTCTATTATTTTAGAATATGTATTGGGAAGCGACATCCTGCCTCTGGATTATTTAAAAGAATTTTGATATTGCCATGCTCCAGGATATCTTTGATAGAATTTGAACCTTGATAACTGAATAGAGATTGTGCACGCCTTTCAATTTCTAAGAGGGGTAGTCATGTTAGTCTGAAACTTTAAAGACAATGAGTGGGTAAAATCCACTTCATCATCTCATCAGCAGCTCATCATTTGAAGTGGATTTTGTCCACAAAAGCTCATGATACTATATATTTTTAGTCTAATGTGCCACAGGCCTGAGTAGATTTAGAGTTTCACCTGTTGCCAGGCGTAGCTGCCCAGATTGTGTCCATCTTGTCTCTCACAAGCCCAGAACTGCAAGCTTGTACCGTTTCATCTCCACTGCAATCTGTGCTGTTTTCCCTGCTTGATACATGGTCTGAATGTTCCATGTCCCAAACTGGGTGGCTGTCCTGGATGAGAGAAGGATCGTCTGCGTGACAGCTTCCTTTCCCCTTTG